GTGCGCACGTCCACAGTGCACTCCGACCGCGGTGTGAGCGATGCGGCGGGCTCGAGTGCGCGGCACTCGCCGGTGGACGCGCGGCATTCACCGATGGACGCACGGTATTCTCCGCTCGCGGGCTACCCCCCTGTAGCAGGCAGGGTGGGACGTCTCGAGGTGGATAAGGGTGTGTGGCGCGAGGCGGGCGCGCGGACGATGAGTCTCGGGTACGCGCACGGCTCGCCGGCGCAGGGAGGGCGGAGGCCTGCGTTTAGGCCTGCGAGTGTGGGTCCGGATGAGCTCGGGGAGCGGTGAATGTACTTACTAATTATGGGCGTTACATGCGATGGACTTGCTCGTTATATGGACAGACCTAGTACATAGACAAATACTTATACCATTTTGGGTGGATCATTGGATGCATTGTTCTTCATGGTCCTGCACATCTTCACGCGTGGATCTGTCGTGAACATCGCTGCAGGTAGCAGTGTTCACGAGGCGCATGCAGTGAGACGCCTGCCATGGATTGCATCGAACTGAAGTTAAATCTGTTACATGGTCAAGGCTCAGACTGATACTCTATGTGACTACAAGCATTTACTGTCAGATACAAATATTCGCTCTCTAAGGTGTGCGTACACGGTACAGATCACAGGTCCAACGCGTCGAGGTGATATCGCTTGGACGAGGAATGAAACGCCACATAACCCTCGCTAAATCGTTTGTACGCATCCAGAGCTTCCTTGTGGGGCGCGAGTGTCTGCACTACGTTGTGGTGAGCAGTAACGACCTGATCCTCGAGCATGCGAAGGACCTCAGATTTTGAGATGTTGCGGGATTTAGCGATGAGCGAGACGTGGTTGACCTCTTCGCCGACAAGCTCCTCCTTATAAAAGGAAAGGATATCGCTGCAGTGAACCGTTAACTTTTGCGGATTATAAGTGCGATGCAAGGACTGACTTTCCGGCGTTGAGAAAGATGTCTATATCGGAGATCGTTTGGATGTACGATTGCAAAAGTAGTTCCGGTGGGAATATCGCGAACGCGAGCGACTCTACTCCGCCGCACAAGCTGCGCGCCCACCCCGCGTAGTTGTGGCCGGCACTCGATGGAGACAACTGCATTCCGATCAGTCGTTGCGACCTTATGACTGTGGGCAAGCCAGGAACGTACCGGCATCCCCTGCATCTCGTGCTCTAGCATGCACCCGACCATGAAATTGAGGAAGCTATTCACTATCATATTGCCTTGCAGCCGGCCCTTCACGGTCGTTAGTCACTCAGCCACAAGCAGAGCACGCCCATGAACCACGTACAAAGTATTGCGGGGTCCGGCGCAGGGCATCCGCAAAGTCGTCGAGGACCTTATCGCCCTGCGGCAGCCCCGCGCAGAACCGCTCATTGAACCCTACCATGATGTCGATGTACTTATCGAACACGTCGTCGATGTACAGCGCGATGGCCGAGTATAGGCATACGTGCACCCGGGTAGACTGGCTGGAGAGGTGGCCGAAGGAGGTGCTGCCCAGTGTGACGCCCACTGGAATGTGCCGCTCGATAGAATGCGGGCCGGAGAGGCAGTAGCCGCGGCGCGCGCCTTCGGCGAGGACGGCGGCTTCGAGTGCGTGGTCGTAAGGAACGTGCGGCACGTAGGGGATGTCGCAGCGCGTCAGGAGAGATTTGACGATGTCCCGCGCATCGCGAAGGGTCGGTGAAAGCACCTTGTAGGAAGAGCAAAGGAATCTGTCTGGGACACAGCAGTGCAATCGAAAACCGAAGGCAGACGCACCGGAATTTTGGAGGCCTTGCACTCAGTGCTACTGTGGCTAGGGTGGGATGCCGTTGTGATCATCACCGACAAGGTCATGCTGAGCGCATAAGAGGGTTATGGCTTGGTGCACAAAAACACGGCTACAGGGCCAAGTAACTATGAGTGAGAGGATAGGGTAAGTAGCGGACTGAACACCCACTTTTCAGGATGCCCGGGAGATGACTGTGTCGTATATAAGCACGGTCGGATAACAAACAGGACCACGCCGCTCATTGAATCAGTAAGCGTCGTCGATCTGATATTGCACTCGGCCCTACTGATGCAAGTACTTGTCAGGTATCATTTTAAACCCATAAGATATAGAATCTAGATGCAGGTACACATACTAACGTAGTCTCGTTTCGAAATGTCCGCGGCGCGACATCGGCAGAACCAGGCTCCTACCCATCCGTCGCTTCGAGGGTCAATAAAATCAATGTTAGGACGATGAGTTGAATGTTCAGTGATATTGCGGCGTACGGACATCTCCGTATATTTGAGCTCCGATACGAACAACTTTCAAACTCAGTACTCTTATTTTCTTGACCCTCTCAGCGACGGATGGCACAATACACGAGTAAACAAAGATGTGGCGTTCCGCGGGGTCCAGTTTGCTCGATCTTCCGGACACATTTGCACAACGGTCATTGCACGTATCATGCAACATGTACAGAGTGGAATACTCTATTTTTTGAGCGCTAGTGCACCCTATTTTTTGTTTGAAAAAATTCGTAGAAACGAGCAAGTAGTAACTCAATGATACTTCAGCCACAGGTGCTCTAGGAGCATGCCTCTACTACAGCACAACTACCGCAC